GACAAGGCGTCGTCAGAATAAATACGTGGGCATAGGATATCGCGTTTAAACTCGGAATTTTTACGTTTCGAAACTTATAATTCTTACGCGCCTACCGAAAGTCGCGCTGCAGCGTCGTCACGAATGACACTCTATCGACTTAAAAATTACAAGGCGTCGTCAGAATAAATGCGAGAGCATAGGATATCGCGTTTAAACTTCGAATTTTTACGTTTCGGAACTTGCAATTTTTACGCGGGAATATTAAAGTCGCGCTGCATCGTAATAATAATGACATTCTATCGAATTAAAACTTACGAGACATCGCTAGATTACGTGCCTGGGTAGGATATCCCTTTGGAAATCAAAAATTTTTATTTTTCGAAACTCGCGATCTTTTTGCGCCAACCTTAAAGGGGATGGATCGTCGCTAGTAATGATTGTAGCGAATCAAGAATTGCGAGACATCGTTAGATTTCGTGCCTGGGAATAGGCAATCGTGTCCGAACTGCGAAATTTTTATTTTCCTGCACCTGTCAATTTCTCACGCTTAATCTTAAAATACGCTGAATCTTGGTCAAAAAGCGATTGTGAAAGCACTGAAATTTTAGCGTTCCAACGAGACCAGGATCATCTTGCTACGATTTTTCTGTGCGAAGATATTGACGATTATATCGACTCGCGATCATAATCCAGAGATGGCAGCAGCAGACGATGCGTATATGCGGCGTCTCGGACGGTGTTGTTTACCACTGAACACCTGCGCCTCGAATGTTTTTATGCCAGTTTTTTGGGGACGTAGTATGCTCGCGTACTACTTCCGTAAAACTCGCGCGGGCTTCTTCCAGGAATGGTGCGCGCCCGCCGGATTTTTAAAACGCTATATCTCGGCAAAAAATCGATGTAGCGACACGAGTAAAAAACCAATCTTCTTCGTTTCGCGTCCTGCAGCTGTTATGTCTATGTTGAATATGTATGCTCTTATCATGAAACTGACGTAGGACAATGGTATAAAAAGTAAAATACTGAAATTTAAATTATAGGAATAATTCCTAAAAATTTTGATAAGAATACAGTTATGTTTGACTGTATAGCAAGTATATTACAAAGTAAATTTTTTATTATTAATCGTCATATTTTATTGACATGCTTTATTTCTACTAGCATTTTGGTATAATTAAATGTGTCAGGTTTTGTATCAAACTTGTACTCTTTTTGCCAATAAAATTTGTAGCACACACTGTTCTGGATACTCTCTAAAAAATTATTTAAACATTCTTTTGTACATACGGGATTGCTCCGTTTATATCGGACAATCAATACGCTTGCACTCTGATCATATTAAACTTTGCATTGTTCTAGTTATAAATAAACTAATATCTCCTTTTTTTTATTAGAATTAAATTTTTATGCAATAAAACATCCACTTTTAGTTTAATATCAATGACATAATATTGTAATTTTTCGAAAAGAATTTTATTCTGTATTGACTTGCGTTGATTTCGTTTTGTGGTCAACATACTTTTGAGTTGCAATGTCCTGTAATTAAACTTGTAGATTGTTGAATTCCTTGAACAGAACCACAACCGGTATGATCGTAACACTGGATGTAAATAGAGAAACCATCTGCCAGCCTAAAGTCGTCTAACAATTCTTTTTATCGTTAATCAACTACTGGCGATTCACATTCTTTCGTTGTTAATACTTTTTATTTACAATATTTTTAGTATTCTTTGAATAAATTCGCTACTCACACGAATAAATTTTTCGAAGCTTCGAAGTAATTCAAAGTTTCGAAGTACGAATGTCGTAACCTTTGAAGGAAATTACCGGTCCTACTAAATAACACAATTAATCGAAAATAATTTTTATAAATTATATAATTAGTTTTAATATTATTTAAAAATGGAAATTGGCGTAAAGCGCTGGAATCAGCCGAGTGAAAACGGTAAGAGACGTATATGCGCTTTTCGCGAGATGTCGCCACCGACACCAAAATGTCACGGTTTCTAAAAATATCCCCTCGCTATTTGCGTCATTCGGCTTGGTTTGAGGTTGGTCTAGGTGCCGCGTATCGACCGACCTGTAGCGTTTGACAGGTGGACTCCTGTCGTGGCCGTTGATAAGGGCTGACGCGTGGAAAATATTAGCGCCGAAAATGTGGAGAAAGCACACGTTCGCGTGTTACTTTGCGTTCGCGACTTTCCTTTTTAAGCTGACGTGCTGTTACGACGTCAAGCGGTACTCGCTGTTGATGCCAAACGTGAGACCGACCACGGTAAGTGGGACTTATCTTTTAAATGACGCACGTACGACATACGACGTTATGAGATCTAATTGTGATAACACATTACGGCTGCAACGTGTGAAAAGTCAGACGGTCGACAGTTTTCTTGCAAACATATTTTCGTACTTTGTATCATTTTTAATCTAGTTCTTATGTCGATTTATGTATTATAGTTAAGGCTGGTTGATGCAAAGGCCGTAACCGTTAACTTATGCCGGAATCGGTAAAAATTAATCCGTTACAGTCAACTATTCCCCTCACTTTTAACGGTGATTGCCTAGGAAACATTTTGTGCGTAAACATCTAGCATTTTGGCGACGCACTAGGATAGGATTTTGCTTATTTTGTTGAGCCAGTTTTGTACGTGAGTTGTCAGATATTTGTGCGCAAAAGTATACATTAATACATGAGCTAACCACTTGCGTGCAAAAGCACAGACTAAACGTATCTTAAGGCCATTCTACAATTGCGTAAACGTAGTTGTAGGGTTGTAGGAGTAGAAGTAGTGTTGTACATCAAAATAATATACAATAGAATGAGATACGTCGTAATTGAAGTGAATGATTGGTTAGCTTTTATGTCCTACATCGTTGTAGTCGTGAAAGATGAAGCTCAGCCATCTTTCACAACAGGCTTTACAATCGGAAATGCTAATTTAAAACTGTGTTTTACAACACTGTACAACCGATAACAACCACGTTTACGCAATTGTAGAATGGCCTTTACGAGCAAAACTTAGGCAAATCTCATACAAGTTTGCATGCATAAGACGAACAAAATTTGCGCGCTAGAATTGTTATCTAAATGGACAGTTTTTATCATTTCCGACATGAGTTAACGATTACTTGGCTAAACCAGCTTTGACAGTCGCGAGAATGCTATGATAAATAAGCTCTTATAACGAATTTGGTTGTTCGCACTAGTGAGCACCGAGAAACTAAGGTTTATTTACTGTCAGTTATTATAGTTAAGACTCGTCTTAAACACTTCTTGAAGTGACCTCTTGACTTTTTAGCCAGTAGAATGCTCTACGTAGCATCCGTACGATCACGTGTTTTTAGCTAGATAGTTTTCGAACGTGTATTTGAGGCGACCTTAGAGGTGCGTTCACAGAGTATTATGGTATTAGTTTTAAAGCGACATAAGCAACTAAGCAACGAAGATAAGACAAACTAATAAGAACTCACTGTGAACAAACACCCAAGTGCAAGCAACCAAATTCACTATTTTACTGAAGGCAATTTTTATGGAATAAGGATAATGTCTCTAACATTTTGTTTACAGCCCGAATTATACCTATGCACGCCAGTTAGGGTAGACTCTGCAAGGGATTATTACATTGTTGGCTTCGAGCCGAATGCAACGATGAAAACGTCTCACCATGTGCTCATCTACGGTTGCACCACGCCGGGCAGTTCAAAGCCTGTTTGGGACTGCAGCGAGATGACAAGCGGCGGAAAAGGCAAAGATCGCGCGCCCGTTTGCCAGGATGGCATGCAAGTAATGAATATTAGCAAGAAGCATACCTCGTAAATTTCTTTGAAGTAAACCCTTGAACAAGAAGAAAACTAGTTGATGTATTTATACAGGTTATCTATGCATGGGCAAGGGACGCCCCTAGCCTAAATCTGCCGATGGACGTGGGCTTTAAAGTAGGCGGCGATTCTTCCATACAGTATCTCGTACTGCAGGTACATTACGCGGTAGTTGACCACTTCCTAGACGGCAGTACGGACGACACAGGCGTATTTCTGCATTATACGACGCAACCACAGAAGAGGCAGGCCGGTGTTATTTTGTTAGGGACGGCCGGATCTATTCTGCCTAGAGAAACGGCGCATATGGAGTCGGTCTGTTCCATAACAGAGCATAAGACTATTTATCCGTTTGCGTTTCGAGTGCACACGCACGAGCTCGGGAAAGTCGTATCCGTCTACGTGGTGAAGCCGAATAATGAGTGGATCGAGCTCGGCAAGAAAGATCCACAGAAACCCCAGATGTTTTATCCTATTACGCACAGCGTTCCGATTACTTACGGCGATATACTAGCTTCCCGTTGCACGATGAAGAGTACGCGCGATAGGGTTACGACAGTAGGTCTGACGAAGGAGGATGAAATGTGCAATATGTATCTTTTGTATTACGTCGAGAATGACACTCCTCTTGAAAAGAAGTATTGCTTTACCGCCGGGCCACCTTTTTATTATTGGAAGAACGAGTTGACCAATATTCCCGACAGAGAGGCATCTACCTTGTAATATATCAAAGTGTGTCGTTCGGCATAAAGATTTGGCACAAAGATCGATTTCGTTCCATCATGGAGAATTAGATCCGAGATAAAGATCCGAAACGTCTTTTCCGCAGACTACGTATTTAAATGCATTTAAACCAATTTCGTCAGTGAAATAGGGTCCATATTTGGGGACCAAGCCGTCCTGATATAATTTATTATAGGTTGTTTTGATAATTTATTATTTATTATTCCTTTGATGCAGCTTATTGCCGGTTCGATTCATTCTGTCGCAATGTCTTCGGTTTAGGATTTATTTGTCTCACTTTCGAAGCAAACTTTTATTTTAGATTTTATGTCAGCAAGACGAGTGCTGGAATAACGCACAAATTATTCCAACTTAATTTCCAACTTGTATCTTTTTAAGTGACAAAGCCTAATCTACACCGTGCTTTTCGCGTCTGGAAACATTCTATTTTGTAGCCAATAAATACATTTAAAAAAATTTATGCTAGTTGATAAATCGTACATTATACATTGTACAATAGTACGCTGTCGACAAATTCTCTAAGCGCTTTGATTTACTTATATAAAATAGAATGTTTCTAGATGCAAGGAGCATATTCTTTAGTAGCACAATGCATTGACCAAACAATTGTTAAAATTGATCCAATATCTGGTTATACTGGGCCAATGTTGAGCCAATGTACTGTGCTACTAGGGTTGTAGATCAGTCTTTTTAGGAATATTGCAATCAGGGTACGTTGTACTTACTTTACGTAATTTTTTTAGGGATTGGAAATTAATTTACAACATTGGAATACCTCTTCCTGTCAATTCTCACAAATGCGATCATTCAAATTTGCTATTGCAATTTGCGCTGCGACCGACAATGTGTATATAATATGTGTAATTTTCATCGCAAAAGGAAGTCAAAATTTCGACTACTATCAATTCGCTTGTTGTCTAATTGCGTTGCGCGCTTTACAACATTTTTAACTGCAAGGGCAATTACGATTTTACATAATTTGATTTCAAGCATCGTGACATTTTATCCGACTAGAGTTATCACGTGTACGTATATCAATCCGCCATGCAGATGTGATATAAAAGAATAATGTTAGGGCCTACTGTTCAGTTAATGTTTATTATATTATATACAAGTTATTTGAAAAGATTGAAGAAATTATTGGTGTTAACCAGAGAGTGTACGCGTTACATCCGAATTTATTTTAATAATCACTTCAGTGAGATACAACGGTGGATTTGGCAGCCACTTGTACGGCGCATTTAAATAATTCCATGATTAGCAACAGTGATTACACAACAAAAAGAGAAAACACAACTATGGAAGATTCGTCGATCATAGTGTATGTGTATATACATATGTATGTGGCGAGGATACTATTTTCAAATGTCACTTCCTTTCAACATCTTCTCTAGACTTGTACATATACTACGCTCAGGAATCTCTGCTCCTCGAGACCGCGAAGATGAATGTTAGATGAAGATACATAGGTGTAATTGTTCGGCGTATTTGTTCTCCCGCGGTGTCATGGATAATAATTTATTTTCGGCGATGTATAAAACAGTCTCCGAGAAACCCACTTGTGAGACGTGTATTTCAATAAATGATCTACGCAAGAGATATATACGTCGGGCATTTCGTTTCACGCGTTTCCTGCGAGGTGCGCCGATCGGACACGTGCCGAGCACGTCGACCTGTGGCGATGCCGCTCTCCGTAATTGAATACGGCAGTTCGTTGTGCAAACCACGAGCGATACCGTATCACGTATGGTCCGACGTTAATAAAGTTCTCCTCCGGCCGCTACATATGCAATTGACTGTCTTTTGTTTGCATATGTTCCAGCAAATTGTATTGCGGCATTGTTCTATCCGTCACGTGTACGTGTCGGCTATCGCGTTCCGCTTGGAGGCATCCGCACGCTCGGTATCATGTTTTTACTCCATTACAGAATCTCGAAATTACATTTTACATTTAATCTATTCTTAGTCGCGTATCGCCTGTACGTTGCTTAAAATAATTTGTTAGACGCGACTAATTTTCACCCCGTCGCAAAACGAAGCGCTATACACGTGTCGTAGCGAGGTGCGAGTTAACACAAAATTAAATGCGAAGTGCAGATTAAAGATTGAAGATTAAGTCGCGCTAATGAGGCAGATCCGCGAGAACGAGTCGCGAATTCCGCGATTTAACGCCGAGCGCACAGTGCGCTCGCCACGTGCAATTCGCAATTTCATTAAACATAAAGGCTGCGTCGAGAGAAGGGTGGTCTCGTCGGGGTTTTTAGTAGCGCGATAAAGCCACGTCTCGCGCGGCTTTACGTCAGATTTATCGCGCGCGCACTTTCCGCAGCGCAACGATCTCGTCTCTCGCGCATTTTCCCGGCGCCCGTCGATCGATCGGCGAAAAGCCGACGAATTAATACGGTTTTACGATACGTCGCGCCGCGTCTAACGTTCACGGACGGGCCAAGATGGTAACCTGAAAATCTGATAGTGGAATTAACCGTCGATGCCTATTAATTTAACAGAAATCCCCGCTGTCATATTAGGAGCCTGTCTCATAAAAGGGACTTCACTTGTAGCATTTAAATATATTAAAGAGGCCAGTGCTCCAAGAGTTGCTTTTTTAAGAAATATAATAGATTGTGGAGCATGTTGATGACACACCTGGCCGCAACTCATGAGCTGATTATAATTTGAAACATTGAGAATACGACGCAGAACATTCGAAAATGAAAAACAAAGAAATTGAGCATACGTCGTATTTAATGATGACTTATATGACTTACTGTTAGATTTTCGCCTCGGATAAAAGCGCTAAAGCTCCCGGGGCGACAATCTGTGTTATACAAATGCTCGAAAGATAAGCGTAATATACTTGCAGCATTTAAATACATTAAAAAGGTCAGTGCACCAAGAGCTGTTTTTTGAAGAAATATGACTTTGGAGCACGTTGATGACACGTCTGGCCGCAACTCGTGAGCTGATTATAATTTGGAGCATTGAGAAAATGATGCAGAGTATTCAAAAACGGAAAGCAACAAAGAAATTGAGCATACGCGGTTTTTAATGATGACTTATGTGACTTTCGCCTCGGGAAATTAGCCAACTCCCGATTAACCGTTACACCTATTTTATTTGCCGATTACGAAATTACATTTGCGGATACGCTTGACGAGAGGATTGATCACGGAGTCAAGCTATTTATGAGCGATGGATACGGCGTATTTAAATGACGAGCGGAATTAATTAACCTAAGTGGAGCCGCGGGAATTGGCTAATCGATTATCTTACGGAGCGCTCCCGTTTTGCACGTATATGCTATATTGTGCGGGATTGTCAGCGATACGTATACATATATATCTTCCGTACACGCGGTACGTTACTGAATAAACCTTGCAGCCATTATTTAGATTTGCTGCTGTATTTTTATTATTTTGTAGTATATTATTTTGAGTTTATTTTATTCGCTGCGGAAAATATCCGGACGTCAATAATTTTTGCAATTGCGATTGAAAATGGAGACTTCTCTTTACGAATTACACGTTAGAAAAGAAAACAAATAGCAAAACTTGTTTTTTTTTCATTCAATTTTGAATAATTTTTTGTATCGACAACGGACTTAGTTATTCTTAGAATGTACAAATATGTTGAAATATTGAAAGCGACAGAACTACGAAGAAATGACATTTATTCGAATTGTCGCTAATTGTCGGAGAATATTGAATCCAAATTAATCAAAGAATGCTATAAATATGCAAGTGTATCAGTAACGTTCCGAATAATGAAGCACATAAATCTTGGCAAATTTAACGTTTCTAAAAATGAACTCTTGCATTTATTACACAACGGTAGATTACGTATAGAATTCAGTCGTTCCTGTCGATGAATTACGAGTTTCGCAGCCGACATTTCGCAGTAATTTTACGGATTTCTATGCCGTTTCTATTGTCATCGGATCAATGAGCGTTAAAAGTATGCCGGCGACATACGTTTTTGAAAAATAAATGACCGGTGAAAGTGCAGCGGACGAGTTGAAGAATCTAACGGAGGTGTGGTCGACGATTTTAAGAGCTATTGATGAGAGCCGAAAGAGCTAATAAAGTCTCCTCTCTCTTTCTCTCCCTCTTCCCAAGTTTTGTAACGTCTATCTTACAGACGATAATTTGTAGCCACGTCAGAGCTGAAAATCGCCTGCTTGGCAATCGTTAAGTCACCGTGCGCGACGCATGTAACTGAGTTTATAAATCTGCTGCAAACTATTGATTTTCTGTTTGTTATTTTTCACGTCGCGCGTACAGAGAGAAGTTACATTCGAAAATAGGTCGGGGGACAATTGTTTTAAAATAAAATAGCTCTGTTACGTTCGTCACTAAGCGACAGACGACTCGATGGCGTATAAATTAGCGCGTGTGCCAATCTTTGCCGATTATTCCGCGTTCGTCGCTCAAAATTATGTAGATCGAGTTGTATCGCGAATGCTCCGCGCTAACGCGACCGCAGATTTCACGCAACGCTGATCAGCTGGCGATTAATGCGGAAATCGCTTTCGTACTTTCGTTTCTTCCGGTATGACCTACTTTACGTACGAAGGAATGTCTGGGCAAGTGTTTTAGATTTCCGTCGCGCGAGCTGCGGCGACGTATCGGATCGCCCACCTGTAAAATCGAAAACCGGTTTTGTTCATTACGTCGCCCTCTTGCACGCGTCTCCTCCGGCAGGAGTTGGTGCCAATACGGCCGGCATGTCCGGCGCAAATCGATAGTCATCCTTTGTACGACGAATGAATATTCTCCGCTGAACCTGTGTCCACTTTAAACGGCGCTAATTCTAAAGATATTCAGGAATGTCCAACTCTGGCATTTATGTGAACGCAGCTAAAAATTATATTATGAAAATGTTTAATTTAAATTTATCATATTAGTTGAACTCGTCCAATCGTTTACTTTAGGTCTTTTACTCGCACGTCGGATGAAGAATATTAGGTATAAAGTGTCGTTGTCATTCTTTTAATATTAAATTAGATCGCGCCGTGTTACCTTTTATGTATCTTTTGATTTTTAAGTAATGTTGCACAACCGAGGCTAGTGTTTAACGGTTTTCAACTTGAAGTAGTGAGTGATTTTCCAACTTTTTATGTATAGCAAGATAGCAGACTTTTATATTTCTCTCTCTCTCTCTCTCTCTCTCTCTCTCTCTCTCTCTCTCTCTCTCTCTCTCTCTCTCGCTCGCTCGCATTTTAAATCCAAGTAGAATATTTTATTAAAAATAAAAACCAATAAGTAGAGAAACATACTATTATCGTGGCTTACTCCCCGCACAATTTCGTCCAACGATATAATGAAAATTTATACGAGATGATGGACGAGTTGTACATACACGAGGATTGACCGTGGAGAGGGTTAAAGATCGATTTGCGTCGTACGGCGAGCAGCATCACTATTTCGATTTCACGGGAGTGGAGAAGGATGTTGCGAGGAATACGAATTACTCTTTGCAAAATAAATCGACGATACTTTGAGAGATTTCGCTAAGCGTGACTCGCGTATTAAGGAAGATCATGTGTTCGAAAGCGAAGTTTCGGGCACGACGGAATATAGATCGAATGCTCGATCATTTCTGGTCCATTAGTCGATCAGTGTCACGCGTCGAAAGCACACCGGGGAAAAACGGGGCGGATTACCTTCGCGCTCGCCGCGATAATTCCCGGACCGAATTCACGAGGCATGTTTTCTTAGACGGGGAACGGGGGCGGGCGAAACGAGATATTGTATCTGAGAATGAAGAAAACGTGCGCGCGATATTTCATCTTCGTCGCGACTGGAGGCGAACGAAATACGTTTCGCTCGTTTTCCGGACCTTGCCGTTTCTCACGTGGTTTACGTTTCGCCGTAATAAACCTCGTGTCAATTATGCATGCACCTCACGTTCCACAGCGGCAAACCGGTACCTCGCCACCCGGATAAACGCATGTAAAATGATCGCCTATCTTAATAGAATATCGGCGTTAAAAACGTCCGTTTTTTTCGCTCTCGAAACGGCGGTAAATTAAATGGATAGATAAATACGCGGATACGCCCGTGTGTCCCTCGCCCGTGGGGAAAACTTGCCCCGTGGCTCTAGATAAATAGCAATTTATTAACTCCCATTACGGCTGAATTTGCCTAATGGATAAAGGCCCGTAAACGTGATTCTTGCCGGGGGTTTCGCCCATAATCTCGTTTCCGCTCGCCGCAACACGGTGGGTACGTACGAAAGTAAAATCCGTGCGCGCCATATCGGTACGGCTTGTATGAGCCGCGTATCCATTTCCGGTCACCGATACATTCTACATTCATATATACGGGTATCGCGAATCTCCGCTATTCTTCTGGCGGACGATGCTCCGAGATCAGTATTCATAACGATGACTTAGAAAGCGGACAGACGTGTAGCGTGAGCGCGATACACGGCCGATACGTCGTTAATCATCATCTACGTCCGCATAGCTCATATTTCCTATTCTTAATTGCTCCGTGCATTTCCAGCTTCGCGGTACAAATTCTCGCGAGATCGACGAGACCTGATCTCGCCGTGCGTCTGACGATGGATAGAGATTAATAGATAAATATCTATCAATTTACACTTATTACTGCGAACGTTCGCGTTAAAGCCCGATCTACAGTGTGCTCTTTGCGTCTAGAAACATTTTATTTTATAGCCAATAAACACGTTTAAAAAAATTGGTGCGAGCTGATAAGCTGTATATTATACATTGCACAAGCGTGCGTTATCGACAAATTTTTAAGCGGATCGATTCGCCTGTATAAAATGGAACGTTTCTCGTTGCGAAAAACACATTGTAGAGTAGACTTAACATTGATGCATATCGATTAGCTGCTATTTACAGTTGCGTTTATGGTATTGTTGTGTTTATACAGAGTGTTCCAGGAGGAAAGGTCAATATTCTGGGAGGTGATAGTATCGGTCATTTTGAGCAAAAATGTTGGTATGAATGTATGTCCCATTCCCCACTGTTTCCGAGCTAGAGCCACTTGAATGTCTCGTGTATTTACTTTATTTCTGTACCTCTACCTGAAGGGTGTACTTCACCCTTCATCCAACCTCATAAACGTCTGCGGGAATTTACTCTCATACGTGTGTTGACTGTTGTGCTGATAACATTGTAGAAATGTTCAAAATGCCTCGCATATTCACAAATGTCGAATATGCAGATGTGCTGTATGTTTACGGTTTCTGTGATGCTAGTGCTACTGCTGCTGCTGAAGAACACCGTCGGCGCTTTCCTACACGCAGAATTCCGAATCGCGAACAATAAATATTAGAACTAGTACGTAGTCTTTCTTTCTTGTCAGTAATTTTGCAACTGTACCTTCAAGTAGCTCTATCTCGGAAACAGTGGGGAACGGGACATACGTGTATATTCGTATGAACATTTTTGCTTAAACTGACCGATACTATCACCTCTCAGAATATTGACCCTTCCTCCTGGAATACCCTGTATACAGGATGTCTGATACAAGAGGACTCCTATACGAAAAATGGTGGTAGATTGGGTCAGACTAAGAAGAAAAGTCATGTACCATTTTACAAAATTCGCAACAGTTATCGAAGTCTAATCATTTTTTTCAATGTGAGGTTATAAAAAGAGAGAAAGTTTCGTCAAAGTAGCCTCATGTAAATTGAACGGTAGAACTGACGCTCAATCAGTCCCCTCTAATTGCACACCACAATTCGCATACTGCAAGTTTGCCTAACGTAAAAAGAAACGGAGACGCGGGGCGAATGTGAGCCACAACAGTCTGCGTGCGTTAAAGCTTGTACCAGTTTAATAGATTCTGCTTTTCATACAGAACAAATTAATTGCTGGTGTAAGCCGGGGAGTGTGTTGCGGAGTTGCTAACATAGCTCGGTTATCGAGCCTCTGGCAAGCAAGATATCGAGTTCGCAACAATTACCGCCCTCGCGTTAAAGTCCCGCGATAGCATGCTACTCCCGCAGCTCCCAACGTGGAATGATGTTTGACATTTTCGGAGAGCGCGCGCGCGTATTCACTCGCGCACCGTCCGTGCTCGAGCACCTATACTCCGATATTCCTCGGTCGGATCTACCCGCGGAAATGGAGACTGCGGGTAAACGCGAACGGAGTATTCGCGTCGTGCGTAAACGACTTTCCTCTATTCGTCATTTAGATCCGTGCCGCGCACCTTTCGGCGATCGATTTTATCATCGATCAGACGTCACGTGCCCCTTCAAGAAATTCTTTCTTGGGATACGGATAATCCTCTCTGCTAACGTTAAAAAGTAACGCTGGCAGATGTAATCGAATAGGAGGCCAAATGCGGATAGCCGCCTGCCGTTGAGAACGGCACGTAAAAGCGAGCGTCGTAAAAGCACACGGGCCCGATCGTTAGGAGAGAGACTGGCTTGCAGACACCGGCTTCGAAAGTGAGCCCTCGATCACGTTTCGCCCGACACAGGCTCGCACGTAGACGCGCGCGCGGCGGTCCGAGAGCTTTGTTTTTCTCTCTCCGTCCTCTTTTTTTTCCCCTCCCCCTTCGATCTTAGCACGATGGACGACGCGGTACGAATCCACGACGACGCGGCACGTTTCCACGGGCGAATCCCTGCTAGGCGAAGTCGTGTCCGATACGGGGGCGAATTCCCGGCCGTTATTGAAAGACGTCTCCCGGATTTTCTCGCGTGAAAAACCTCGTTGCTCGCGCGCGACAGGCACTTGTCGTTTAACGTTTCACGACGGTAGTTGGTTCAGCTGGGTGCGGAGCGTTTGGCTTCTCCCCGCGGGAGGTTCTGTATATCGCGACGTTATAAAACGAGAAAATTTTCCCGACAAACTGGAATCTCGTACGAGTGTGTTGGGCAATAGAAAAATCTTTAAAATAGAAGCAAATCTTGAAAAAGAGAGAAAGAGAGAGAGAGAGTGAGACAGGGAGAGACAGGGGAAGACAGAGGGAGAGAGAAGGGAAGGAGGAGAGACTGGATAATCTTTTGGCGTGACGTAAATCTCTAGTTTTGAATATCTCGTGAAAATCTGTATCTGTGCTACGTAAGATTCGCGAGCGTGCCTCATTAAAATGTGTGACGTTTGCGAAATTGCACTTTCAGATAAGCGGCTTATCAACGTGGCGGCTTTTCAATAAAGACAGCGCGATTTCTTTACTAATGTATAATATACATGCAGATATGTTAAAATGTGTTTCATAGAAAACCATCTAATTGCTGTTTTAGGTAAACAACGACGAGTCGATGCGGAGTATCGCAACGTAGTGTACTAGGGATAAATGGAGCAAGACAACTCTGTGCAGTCTACGTAATTGCGCCGATAAGTAAGAGACGCTATATTTAACTCCACTTAATTTTCATATCGAAACAGCGACTTCGCCGTGATATCGCCTTTCAGCCTGTACCTAGATTCGGCTTGTTCTCTCGCTTTCGCACGAAACTCATTGATTTCCTGCGCTCCGCCATTGCGGAGCATCGCGATTAACGTCAAGCGAATCGTTAATCGCAATCGCGAACGAGAGGCCAATTTGAGCCGAGGGCAAAGGAGACCATACTTTCTTCGCGTCGTCGCGCCGCCGCCGAGATAAAACGCGTCGCGGGAAGGAAACTCGCCCGAATGATCCTTCGTAAAGTTGTATCGCGACCAATGGCGACGGGGATAAGCGAATATCCCCCGTTCGGCGCGTTCTCTCTCGCTCGGGGAATCGGGCGCTTCGCCACGCGCTAGAGACGCGGCTAAGGTCATTCTCTAAATTACATCGCGTTCACTGGCGGCAGGCGAGAACTGCATCGCGCGGGCTGAATCAGCCCGGCGTTTACGTGTGTCGCGCCGATGTCCACCGGCGTATTCCCACGTTCCCCGTCCTAATTCCGGCGCGCCTGAATTCCAAAGGTAAACAGACTAAACCGTTGGCTGTTGAAAGGATTTACATTTCTTTTAGAAAGGCGACGCCACGGTTACGGGCCGCGCCGCGTGTGCGCGCTTACGTTGAAACGCGCCCGGACGAATTTTCGCCGCGTGTGTGCGGTCGACGATTCTCGCCTCTTTTCCCCCGGGTCCTCCCCGCGGACCGAGGAAACGGGGAAACTTCCGTCCTTTTGCGCGGACACGACCGAAAATATTATCTATCGAATTGAGGTCCGTCGCGCGATACTGTTTCCACGTTTAATTTCCGGTCGCGCGGGTCGCGCGTCGGGCAGAAGACGCGACGCGACAAACCGTTCGATTCGTTCCACGAGCAACGCGACCACGGCAGGGCGAATGGGAGATAAAAGAAGGGCGCGTCGAACGAGCGGAAAATTCGCGATTGGTTAACCTACTTCGCCTTCCAGAGCGAAGGCAGCTTGTTCTAGAAATCCTTCTTGTGATTTTACGACAATCGCGGCTCAACTTCCGCGGCGATATTACGCGCTTCCGACTGCGCGGATTTCGAGTTTAGACAGCTTCCAGCGGAGCGCTCGCCAAAGTTAGGAATTGCATTTGTGCGGAATTTAAGGCCGGCTTAGGAGAGGATTAAACGTACAATCGAGATCGTAAAATATAACAGCAGTGTATGTTATCGGCAGATTGTTTATAAATATATGTAGTTTTTCGCAACAATTGGCATGACGAGGCAACGTCCCTCTCTGCTCTCTAAAAATCAATCTGTTTAGTGGAGAATTGATTGTCATCTCCCTTGGGAAAATATCCCTTAGAAAACCTTAAAATCTTACTTCAGAAAAGTAAGATATATGAAGAGTACATTTGGACACTTTAAACTGTTATTTATAGTAAACTTAGAACTTACTTTAAGAATTTAAAAAACTAAGAATTGTGAAATGTATGCGACATAACTTATAATATCGCGTGCGGTTTTCTTTTTACGAGAAAGTGCTTCGCGGCCCTCTAGCGGGAACTTCGACAGGCTTGGCTATCTAAAAATTACTTTAAGTGTCCAAAATTACTCTAAAATTTCCTAAGTAAACTCTTCGATTTGAATGAGTACTTCTGAAAACTGCAATTTCACTTAGAGTAAATTTTCTCAAGGGTCGCAAACCCCTACTGTCTCATATTAGACTTCTATCGCATAACAGAGCACCTTCCTCTATATCTTGTAATTCTAAATCGGTGACTATTCACTGTTTTCAGTGACAATCCACTGAAAGGATTTTTAGAGAGTTGGAATGATTGAAAATTGAGATCTCGAATCGCGGATCCTCGTCAATTTTCGTCTCGCACCCGCTGATCCCGATCGGGAGACGAGACGCGCGATCGCGTATCCGCCGGTGCAGGAAGATCGTGCATCTGTGGGGGTTGCGGCGGTAGGCGACCGGCGTCGTAGGACCGGCGAACGTGTCTACCGCGTCGCGACGAGGCCGAAGGAGGGAGCGCGCGCGCGGGAGAGAGAGAGGAAGAGAGAGCGCGCGTGAAAGATATACGTGGGGGCGAGAGAGAAGTCGCGATTGGTTAAACCGCTCTCGGAAAAGCCCGCCTGGCTGCTCGGCCGGCCGGCACTTCGCTCAGTTCTCCACTGCGCTCCGTGTGAAGCGGAGCTTTCGAGAGACACCTCCTCGCTCTCCCGAACCGCGCGGGGTCGACCCTTCGATCGGGATCCCGTGCGAGTGCCAGTTTGCCAGGAAATCGCGAGAGGACCAGGCGGTATCCCTAGAGCTTTCGCCACTTTGCATAAGAGCCGGGGAAGGGGGCAGGCGGCAGGGTTGAAGGAAAGGACGACGATGTGCGAGAGGAAGCTGCCGCGAGTGCTCTAGGACGAGAGGACCCGAACTAACCGAGTGACACCGTACACCTTCGAGAGGGACCCCTTCCGGGAAAGAGCGCGACTCAGCATAATCATGGTGAGCACCTTCATTCTTGCGTTATCGAGTTCTCGAACGATTTTAGTTATCGCGATCACGTTTTCCAAGTTTTTCGTACAACCTTCGCGTCTCCGCGGATAACTTTGGAAACGAAGGAATTAAATAACTCCCGTTCGTGTCGACGAACACGATTGCCAATTTCTTTGGATCCTCGCGTTGCAAAAGCGTCGAATGTAATTCTTTTGGTGGACATCTTTTGCGTGAAAATATTGCCCAGAAACGATCCACGGCGAAAATGTGTTGCGCGCCGTGTATTCCCCGTTACTTTTATATCTTGCCGTTTTCGCGATAGAGGTAATCCGCTGCGGAAAAACATTTCTTTTCGCGTAGGACGATTTGCACAATAGGCGGCCGGATTCGTTATCTGTTCTTGGAAATTCTCTTGAAAATTAGAGAACAAAGCTAAAGTAGACTGTATTACAAGTATAAAGTGGTCAAAGCGAGCAACGAAGCGCAGTCGGCGCTTGTAAACTCGCACGACGCTCTCTCTGTGCACAGTTAAGGGATGATAGGGGAAAATTAAGGAAACCCTCTGTGCACACTGTACCGTAGCTTTGTCAAGACTACGCGCCCCTAATTTAAGCGCGCGGCCGCGCGCACCTCGAGAGCTTAACGCTCAGGGCACTCGGCGTTTATTCTCGGCGGATCCTTCGGTGAAATTTCAGTTGAAAATATAATCGGGCAGAGGATTACGCGGCTAACCATCTATAATAATAGGATTATTCGGGTCACTCGTATCTCGTGGCGACACACTTATCTCTACAAGCTGCTACACCAGAACTAACAATTTTGTCGTCTATTTCTCGAACGTTCATCGTAACACGCTCCTCGTTTCCGATCGATAATCGCCGTAGAAACCGAAAGATTCCAATTGCTCAGACAATTCGTTGCGGAAAGGACACTCGTGCGTCGGGGCATTTATTACAACGTTCCAGCCAATACGAGGCCCGATCGCGGACTTAACGGAGCGATATTTATTTTAATGGGGAATCAATTTCCGTTTAGACTCAAGGGACTCAATCATCCCTTAGGGCCTGAGCAGAATGGCCGTCTTGTATTCTTTAAGCTGAAAACACGGAGAAACTTAAGCAGTAAGACTTAAGAATTTCCACCAATCGGAATTTACGGCATTGCTTAAGTTTCAAAATGGCTGCTTACGTTCTCGCATCTATTCGTCATTTCCCTTAGGTCTTAAGTTTTACTGTTTAAGTTTTTTTTTGCGTGTTCGGGTCTTAAGACACAAGAACAGTTATTATGAGTTATTTCAAGACAAAAATTTAAAACCTAAAACATTGTCTGAAGAACACAAGACAGCCATTCCGCTCAGGCCCTTAGTCCTATCCGGCATATAGGTCACGTCGTTTTCACGAACTTTATAAAGAGAGAAGTCCCCTATTACGAGATAGGCTCCTAATACAAAATAGCGGGGTTTCTGCTAAATTACTACTCATCATCTGTTGGTTTTACCATAAATTTATTGCCCTTGGAGCGAAATCTGGTGCAAAATGTCATTGTTAGATCGCGTAATCGTTGCGAAAAAAAAGATTTGTGATTGCATTTGGATGTCGAGAACCTGCTATCTTATAATAAGGAACTTTCCTCTAGCTTACTCGGAGAAACGCGTCGTCCTCTGGGCGATGCCACGTTCTCCTGCTCCGTTCGATCCGTTTCTTAATTCGGATTTTACGCTATTCATAGAACCAGCGGGATCGATGCATATCCGTTGTCGGGTAAGGAGAAACTTTGACGGTGTGTCTTCCGATGGAGGTTCGGATCTTATTGAAGCGGAGTCGGACACTGCCAGTCATCGAGGCACACCGTGTGCCCTCACCGCGGGCTCTTGATGAGCCCGTAGGTCGTTCGATTCGTAGCACGCCTGACTCGATGGCTTTTCCGTGACTCCGGGTCGATTTCCGGGCGAAAATCCCGCGGACGAGGCGTCGTCTCGTCGGAAAATTGGGCTGAGTCAATATTATCACGCAGCTTTATATGTATATCCACTCCGTCATTTTCCATTATTTCTCACCGCATAAAAAAAGTTACGGAACGGTGCGGGGGAGTTTTTCAGATTTTTGGACGTTAAATATAAATCAGTTACGCCGAAGGGAAGCTAAGCGAGTGTATAGTGAAACTGTAACGAGCGGTTTGGGCTCGTCCGCGGTATTAGAAGTTGCAGACTTGAAAATCAATATCCACGCGCACTTGCCGCTAAAAGGAGTAAAGCGTGGAAGAAAAATTTTAATATGGAGGATATTAAAAAGATCCTACGCTAAACGTGTGCGACGGCGAATGCCTGATCGATAGAGCGCGATTACGGCGTTGCATATCGTTCCCGGCGCGAGTTTTATGTATGACGCGCTGGCAGTAAGACAGCAGGGACTGCGGTATGGGCGCAGGAATGTAAAACGATGTAACTAGTTATGGAATTCTAGTCATCCTGCATTCAGACCGAAACACCACCGCCCACGTTGCATTTCTAGATTTGCGGTTCCACTCGCCCGTGCATCCTTAATCGGTTCGGTTTGCGGGTCTATTGATTCCTGGCGTTAACCGGATCCCGAATTCAGAACGCGAAATCGCCGCTTGATTGGCATTAATCACGGCTGCGAATGCATTCGCGCACGACTATGGCTCCCGTCACTCGTTCGTATGTGGATACGGTTCCGCAATTATTCCCGGCGCGATTTGTTCTTGAAACTGCTAGAATCTCTCGCCGGTATAAAGCAAAACTTGACGAGAGTCTAGTCTTACTTAGCGTTAATTAAAGTTTGCAGGGGAAAGTTTGTGATATCAAATTATTCAGAACGTGAAAGATTAGATCGCAAGCTGCGGAGGTAAAACTATATTAAACATATACGTTGGGATGTTCGCTGAGAAAAATTTACATTGTACGAGAGATCGAACTCTCGATTAAGTAAATCGAGCCAAGGGGAGAAGGAAGTTTAAAGGTTACACAATCAGGTACATAGAAAGGAAATAGAAGTATTTAATTACATCTTCGGACAATTGACACTGGGAACACGCGGAGTGACACAAGTCACTTTGAGAGCAAGTCGTGTAGATATTGAGAAGGACAATCGAGATAACATTTTAAGTATCTATACCCTCGGGTTGACAAGTCGATGAAGACTCTGGCGAATATCATATTGAAATCAAGTTGAGATCATATGCAAGTCGATAATCAAATTGACATTTACAAGATTTCATCGCGATATCTGGAAAATATTCTGTAGATGTCTACGATCTAATCACGTTTCAATTGATATCGTATTGAACTCGAATCAACATCTCAATTTATCGACTTGAATATGTCTATTATACAAGGTGTACCTAAACTGGCGAACAATATTTTAACGACGAGTACTTCGTAATATTTTAAGACACAAATTCTAATACGAAAATGCCGAGGCCAGAATTTCGCGCAGGGATGGCAGGGATGAAGAATCGGATCGTCGTCAAATCAAACGGCCCGAAAAATCATGATTCGATGTCGATTCGATCATCGACCTGCGCACCTGGGTAGACTATTTGGCTAAACAAAAAACGCGCCTAAATGAACGTAACAAGTACCGTTGCACACGTATCGCGGAACACGTGCGGCGTCTAGAGATTACTTGAGCAACCCTGCATTAAGAGATATTGTTCCGCCGCTAGTTTACACTCAGTTTAAGACTGCCTCCGCGTATCTACGTTGCGGTAACGTCGGAAACTTTGCGCGCTCGCAAGTTCTTCGCCCGCGAGTGCCACCCAATCTCGGCGACGCGCCTCGGATCCGCGGGGCTTGTGTGCAAAGCAGCTTCCGTGCTTGTTTTCCCCGTACGTACCTGCGCAACACCGAGAACAATCGCGTTACTAAAACTGCTCTCTCCAAAAACCAATCAGTGAATTATCATCGAAAACAGTGAATAGTCACTGATTTGCAATTATAAGTACACCAGTGAAAATCGCAGTGATGTACTTATAACTGCAAATCAGTGACTATTCACTGTTTTCAGTGATAATCCACTGATTGACTTTTAGAGAGCTCGTCGCCTAAACTCGGGTCTCGGATCATACGCGCGACACAACGGAGCGCGCGGTGTTGAACCGCCTAGCGAACTAGGGCGTCTTCTTCTCTTTTTTCTTTCGATCTCTGCCGCAGCTACGCCGCCACCCTTATATCCAATCTGCTGGCTCCTCGTGCGCACGAAATTGCATCTGTTTCATCGGCATTCAGGAAGAGTGCCAAAGTTCGATCTCGCTCCGATCGCCTCGCGGGTAGCCGCGTTCCCGCTCCCGCCCGGAGGAATCCATCCGCGCTCCTGCGCTCGCTATGCGGAGGATATGCAGTCGATCACGTGGAATATCAAAAGGTCCGGGCTCTCTCTCTCCTCGGCGAGAATTTTCCGAGTTTTACGACGCGCCCGGCCGACACTCATACAAATGTTCTCGCGACAACGCTAACAATCCGCGTTCGGGTTTTTCGAACGTTGTCCCTCGTAAAAGTGCCAGTCACGGTTTACCGGGGAAGTTAAAAGTAACGAAACGAATCGGTTGAAATAAATGAAATTACGCACGTGGATTCGCGTGGGCTATAAATAATCAGCATTACGATCTTTTCGTTGCGGAAAATTGACTTCGGGCCCCTGAAACGATCTAGAATTTCGCACTGTCAGAGCGAATTCAACAGGGAGGGTATGTTATATTTCGGTGATATTTCAGGAGATTTTGCCGGCGCAAAAATTTATCCGAGAGGAACGGCAGAGTCGGACGTACCCCCGATTTTTAACGGAATTATAACGCGAGACTCGCTTAATTGCAAACGAGATTAATTAAATATCCGCGCAGTTTCGCCAGAGGCGACGAAATGCGAATTACGTATGGAACTACACACATATTTGCCCGCTTCATTAAACTTCTGCCTGTTATTTAAACGGGAAAACAGGGCAGCAACGACAGCCTGATAATGGCGTTGTAATGTCGCTGTCGTCAAATATCCC